ATGAAATAAAAACCGGACACTTCCACTCAAATGTTTCTAAGAGATTGGAGGAAGCTGGATCTCAATTGTGTCAGCCATCATTAAAAGGAGCAAAATCTCTCTCGTCTGGAATCAAAAGAATTGGTAGCATGCATCTACATCCTGCAATTGAGCAAGGGTGAGTCATAGTTTTCCATAACAATTGCATAGTTGGCATTTAAGTTTATAAACTGTTTCATATAATCTTCAACAGGGTGGGTGCTATTGCTAATGATGCACAAATTGGAAGCAAATTGCTCGCTGCTCCTGTATTAGTTGATAGAGAAACCAACGCCAAACATGCAATATCTGGAAGGTAAAGAATGCTAACATTCAGTAATATCAGTATAGGACTCGAGGTACAATCTTCCCATCATCTTCTTTTATTTTCTTTTTCGTTTTTGAAGAAATAAATAAATAAATTCTAGAAGCTTCTACGTTGACATTATATACTTTGAACTGAATCACTTAAAATTGGATGACATCATTTTATTAAATAGAAAATACAATAAAGCTATTGTTGATGTTAAATAGCAGTGCCCCTTGTAATCATTGACAGGGAGGACTTCAATTCTGCTGGTGTACCAAATAAGGCCAAACTGGTTGGGAATTCACTCATGTGTAATAAAGAAGTAACAGAAAGGGAACCTGTCCTAGGAAGTGGACAGAGAAAAAGTCTCAATGATCTCAGGTAGGTAACGCATCTCTAAATGACCTTGTTCTATCTTAAAATTTACTTTGACTGTTTGAAGTTCAACTTCTCTATATGCAGGGTTTTCACTATGATCTCTTCTTTGATAGATTTAATTGTTCACAAATGTTCCCAACCAAGTCTTCACTTTTTTAGAATGTTTAATAATATGGATTGTCTATGTTTCCCATTATTGTGGTGTTCTTTCAATATTTCAATCTTCGTTATGTTAAATAAATTTATTTCAGATGACATCAAACTGCCAGATTTTGTGAGATTTGTTCTTTGCTTTTCTTGCCTCGAAGAATGGCGCTATGACTGATGTTATCATTCAAATATTTAATTGTGCTCATTTCTCAGGCACATGGAAACCTATTTTATATACTGTTCTGCACCATTATTTATTGTCCACAGGACCTTCTAGTGAAATTTCTGATTGCCAATATAAGTTTTTCTAGGCATGTGGAAATTTCTTCCAGTCAAGCTAGTCATTCCAGCTCAAGTGAGAAGACAATTAAACCTAGTACTCAGACATGTGTAAGTTCTAAATTCATGCTGTCGAGCCTGGAGTCTATGAGGAACACTAAGATCATTACAGCTGAAGGGAATAAACTTTTTACTGATAAACCTGCCAAGAAGAAAACTGAACTTTCTACCTTGAACATTTCAAAGTATGATGCAAGTGTAATTATTCCTCTTCTTCAGTTCTTTCCTTTGCAGAAATGTTTTGATTGTCATTTTGAATGTTTTGATATCTCTAAATGTAGGAATATTGGTGGCAATAAAGTTTCATCTAATGCTGCATCTCAAAAAGAAATAAAATCCCTGAGTTCAGAGAAACACATGGAAGTAAAAGGCAATGTGGAATTGAAGACTGCCCAGATTGTTGATCGCAGTGAGAAACAAATGCCACCAAACCTTTCCTTGAAGCGAAAAATATTTGAGGTCTTATAGATGATAAACCCATTTAATTCCTGAAGTTCTCTTCAAAATGATATCATGACTATGACATTCTATTTGTAGCTTTGGTCTATTCTGTCCAAAAGCTTTATGAAAACTTTATTGCATTTTCCCAATTTCTTACACGAAGCCTTTTTTCAGGGATCAGACTCAGGTTTAGCATCTTTAAAGCCTCTAAAACGCCTCTCTCAGTCACCAAGTGAAATCAGGTACTCT